GGAGCCCTTGCTAGCACTGTGAGGCCCTGGGTTCAATCCTCAGCACCACATAAAAATAAATAAAATAAAGGTATTGTGTCCATCAACAATTAAAAAATAAATAAATAAGAAACAAAAACAAAAAACCCAGACAGTCTCTTCATTAAAGAACCATAGGGTGGGCCTAAGGCACATTGCCCTTTAAAGACCCACTCCCACTTCAAAAAAAAAAAAAAAAACCCAAACAGAAGCCCAAGAAATTCAATGCAAAAAAGATTCCCAGAATGTTACTAACTTGAGGTCACTACAAGTAGAAAATTCTAAGAAAAGTCTTTCTAGAGGGTAAGACATACTATCAATACTTCAATCTTCTCAATATCCAAGAACCTGAAATAAAAGAAGCTGGGAAAAACTGAAGGAAATGCACATGCAAGAAATAAACTTTGTAAAATTGGGGGTTAGGTGGGAGCCAGTCTCCTCCAGTCTCTGAGCCTCATGGTCAGTTTTGTTCACACAGCTCAGTAACTGGAATTTCTCCCTAGCCCATAAACATTTAGAGATGCCAAATGCTTAGGATCACTTTTAAAGATTCCACATATTTGTAAGCCCCTCCAGACACCAGCAGCCTCCTCTTCCTGTAACAGGGGTTCACTTGATGCTTAGACTATATCCCTTGTGGCTTTGAAGCTTATATGTTTGTTTGTTTGTTTTACTTTTTCCCAATCTTCTTCTCCCTAAACTTCTTCCTGGTATCTCCTCCCTAATCTCATTTTCTCTGAATCACCTCTATAAAAGCCCCCCTGTTCCTACTAATGGGCAGAATCAAAGCCTTTGAGACAGAGTCCCCTATGTTTCTCCTTTCCTAGCAAAGCAATAAACCTTCTTTTTCCTTTTTCTCAAGACCTTGTCTTCATTATTGGATTGGTGTGAGGGCGAGGACCAAGCTTTTGGTTACACTCCCTGTTCCTTGCCCACTGTCTCTACTGCACCAAAGGGCAATGACAAGCTCATCTGCATCCAACCCAAGGATTACATGAGGAATCTGGGGAACAGATATGCATACCCCAAGATCAAAATCAAATATCCCAAGGAAACAGGTCTATTATGTACTCATCAATGACACCTATCTCCTACTATCATGGCCAAGTTGTAAGCCACCTGTATCCCTCTGTTCATTAAAACTAAGACCCTGCCCTGCTTTGTAGCCAGGAAGACCACATTACACTTCTTCAAGACCAAGAGAAAAAACGGAGATGATGCTCCCTCTCCACTCCCACTCCTGGTTTATCTACTGCCCAAGCAGGTCAGTGTTCCAAGAAGTTCAAGAATGGAGATCCTGTTAGAAAACTTCTGGAGAGACAAGAAGAGGCACTGAACTAAAGACCACTTTGGGAGGGATGTTGGAAGTTTTTAGACACTAAGTCAGACCACTAGAGATGGCCTGGTTCACCCCTTTCCCCCACTCCAAGGAGGCTAAATGAAAAAACAGTTCATACCTAGGGGCAGAGGCAGCTGCTGTGCTCACCATCCTGTCTTTTTATTTCCCAGCCATTAAACTCACATAAAGAAGGTGGTTGCAGAAACTGAAGAATTGTCACTGGTGCACTGCGAACTCCTCTTAAGACTGGAAATAATCACTGAGAAAGCACCAAGCATCTGCAAGGAGGCTGAAGCACCTGGTGTATAGTAGCTCATTTAATCCTCACAACCCTGTGAGACTGGCAGATTAAGGAGCTGAAGCAGAGAGACTAGGGACATTCTCTAAACCCACACAGCTGCTTAGAAGTGGGGCCAGTACCTGAACTCAGGAAGCTGACTCCAGGGCCTGTACTCAACATTCTACCATTCTGCCTCTCTTATATGCACTCTACCACAAAGCCTGGAATTCAATCCTATTGAACAAATCCCAATCTTTATACATGTATGAGGCAGCACACTTCATGATGGCTCATGAATACAAAATGGTCAAGCATGACCAGGAATCTACCTCAGTAAGTGGGAGCACAGCAGAAGATTCCACAGCTCAGCTGACTCATTACCATCTAGGCCTCCCACCATCTCCATGGCTATTCCTACCTGAGCTGCCCTTTTGTATGAAAATGAACAGTGTGTCAGGCAAGGGAAAGAACACAATGTAACTAAACCTAGGTCCCAACACCTCTAAACTGCTGATGTCCTAAAGCCCTTCATTAATATCATCTTGGGTTAACAACCTTAGAGATCAATCTTCAAACTAAACAACTATTTACTATTCAAAGATGATAAAAATAAGGAATATGGACTCTTGACAGCAGGAAAAGAAGAAAAATCTTGGGACTTTCGAAGGGGAGAAAGAAACAGTAGAAACAGAAACACCATTTCACCTTCTCTGCAGTATTGCTTAGAGCTGGGTGTGGCTACCTCAGTGTATCTCTACTTCCTTAACACCCTGAGAGCAGAGGACAGGAAAGAGACCAAGGGAGTTAAGGATGAATTATACAGGAGACCTCCAGAAAAGAAGGAAAGAATCTTCAGAACTACCTTGTGGAGCTCTTAAAGTAGTGCTCAGTGCACAGAGAGGACTAGACACCAAAGCTGCCTTGAGCACATCCCTCCAGGGGAAAAGGAATTAGCTGGCATTTCCCTAAAAAGAAACTGTAACCAGGCCTGCAAGGAACCAAGAAAAAAAGCAGGTATTTCCTCTTTATACACATGCTGTTAACTCCCATCTTCTTCCAATGGATGTTAAAATAGTTTATATTTGACAATTTAATTAACCACAGTAGAGACCAAATGATTTTTAGCCAGGCACAGTAGTGCAGGCCTGTAATCCCAGCAGCTCAGGGGGCTGAGACAGGAGGATCAAGAGTTCAAAAACAGCTTTAGCAAAAGTGAGGTGTTACGAAACTCAGTGAGACCTTATCTCTAAATAAAATACAAAACAGGGCTGGGAATGTGGATCAGTGGTTAAGTGCTCCCGAGTACAATCCCCCTTGAAAAAAAGACTTCTAAAGTGCTTGTCTTCAGAAACTATGAAGCTATTAGTCAGGCACAGTGGTGCACACCTGTAATCCTGTTATCCTAGCTACTTGGGATGCTGAGGCAAGAGGATAGCAAGTTTGAGGCTAGCCTCAACAAAACAGTCAGATGATGTCTCAAAAAAAAGGGGTGTAGGGCTAGGGATGGGCTCAGAGATAGAGCACCTCCAGATTCAATCCCCAACACCCACTGCCCCCCCCCACACCAAATAATTAAAAAATAAATTAAAAAAAAAACAAAGTATGAAGCTCTTAATTCATAAAACAAATTAAATTCAAACCCTTATAGAGGGTTATCTCCATTATGCATCCATACAGGCTAAGTCTTAAATGTCCCTACCCTGGGGACCACAGAGCTGAATCAAACCAGCATGGGCATTTTTCCCTGAATTTACAGGTTGCTACATATAGTGTTACCTGAAGGCTACACTGTAGTCAGGTAAAATTTACTCACTCCAGTCCTTAGATGGGTCTCATTTCTAGTCTGATAAAGGCAGATGGGGAGGAGAAAGGGAAGAAATGTCAGGGTGAGGGCTGAGGAGTAGGCTAGGAGGAAATGAGATAAATGGAAGGCAATGAGATAACTATGATCACATTTGTTAAACTCAAAGTCAAGATTACTCTAGTAACTGCTACAGGACTTATAAGAACAAGATATCCACCAATGAAGGTCTGACTTTCTGGTGAGACTGGATGCCTCCTCCATCTAAGTAACCAGTCCTGGCATCTTTCCCTAGCCCAGGACAATCTCCCTCTTTACCTGAGATAAACATCACACAGGTTAACAGAGGCAGACAAATCCTCCAGTACAGTGTGATTCATCAATCCAGAAACCATTCTGCTATTTCATTATTCACAAAGTAACTTCTTCTATTAAAATAGATGCATCCTGGAAAGGCAAAGCCTTTGGAGTTTGGCAGATGAAATCTCAGCTCCACTATTCTCTCGCTAATAAATGTAAACATCTAGCAGTACCTGGCTCCAGGATCTAACTTCCCAAGTGTTCATTTCTACTCAGTATTTATAACTGACCTCAAATTCACCTCTTGTAAAATAATTTTAAAAATCTGTTTTGTCCAGAGGGAGAACAAGATGTCTAACCTCTTGAGATTAGTCTAACCTCTTATTTACACAGTCTCTCCAATACTAGCAGACACAGGTCACATGTCCCCAAGTGCTGCCTTGTCTGGGTTAAACATCTCCACTTCTTTCAACCACACTTCACGTGACATTTCCTGACCCCTCCCCAACTTAGTAACTCTCCCCAAATCAACTTCAGACCCTCTTTAAGAAGGCTAGGGTGTTGCCACACACCCAATTCATTCTAGGTCCTTGGCGGGGGTCTGGACCGCAAACCAGAGGCTAGGAGCAGTCTGCGGGTTCTCAGAACTTGCACCCAGAACACAGCTGTGCTTTCTGGCCCCCATCCTCAGAAGGCGTCTTCCCGGCAGTCTCAGTGGGTGGTTTACACGGATGTTATTCACAACACCGTGTCCACGAGCCGCGGATGCGCACGACCCTGGTGCCAAACAGTTGTATTACTCTCACACCGAAGATAAACAAACTCCGTGCTCTTACGCAACCTCCCCGGTCCAAGACGCCCCAGCGCAACAACAGAAACTCCTTGTAACTGTTTTCCTCTTCGCAGGCTCGCACGCCCATCCTGGCCCCACCCAACTCGGGGACGCGGCACCTGCCTGACTCATTTTAAATAGTGTTTACAAAGCACAGTCGCTCCCAAGGGTTCCCAGAAAATACCCCCCCGGCTAGGAAAACACCTGACCGCAGGAGGCGGGCGCGAAGGCCAGACCCGCTCCAGGTCCACGCCGTGCTCACGGAGCCGGCAGGCGGCGCGGTGCACGCCGGGCAGGGAGCGGCAGCACGTGAACACGGCGTGCGGCGCGACCGCGACGGGGTGGGGCGCGCCATGACTGGCTCGTGCACAGCGCGCCGCAGCCAATCCGCGCGGATTAACCTTTCCAGGCCCCGCCCCTTCCTGCCGCCGCCGCGAGTCCTCGGCTGACCTCGGAAGGGTTGCTTTGCAGTGCAGCAGAGTGAGGCCCCCTGACTTCATCGCGGGAGACTTTGGTGGGGGCGCCTCAGGATCTCCATAGCATGGGGGAGGTTCCCTGAACAGGTGGCGTCCTGACCTCCCGCGGGAGCGTCCCGCGCTCTCCCCATCTCTTGGTCCTTGGTGGGCTCCTTTACTTCTTTATCTCCCTCCCCGCGATGCCCGACTCCCAGCAGGAGTATAGGTAGGCCCTAAGGGTTGACATTCAATCTGTGAAGGCTTCTCTTTTTTATTTTGCCTTGAAGTATCCTTTTTGTTATCAAAGTTATATACGCCTATTATGCCATAATTGAAAGAGCATAAAATATTGCTAGTAATACTTGCAGACTCTCCTGTCTGCATATTTTATAAAGTCCCAGGAAGAACGCACTGAATGTGTGATCTCTCTCTACGCAGTGCCATCCTTCATTGGGGTGGGGGTCAGCTATTATCCTGAGGAATGTTATTTTTCTAATGAATACAGCCAGCAGCAAAGGAGATCCAAGATGAAAACAATATTCCGAGGGAAAACATAAAAAAAAAAGGAAATACAGTTATGAAATGGGGAAAGGAGAGAACTAGAATAAGAGATCAGTATGAATTTAACACTATTTTACTTTGTCAAGATTTATTTATCTGTTCTAATAAGTGAATTTATGTTTTTTAAAAATATGTTTTCTACCTCTGCAAAGATATTCCAGAAACAAGAAAGCCCAGATCCTGGCTTCTAAGTTTCATTTTCCACTAAAAGCAAGCAGATTCTTTGAGGAGTGGCTGATCCCACGGCTGAGACTGGGAAGTGCAAGTCAAGCCTGCAACATCTGATTGCACCAGGAATTAAAGAGCTTAATGCCAGGCATGGTGGGCATGCCTTGTAATCCTAGAGACTCTGGAGGCTGAGTCAGGAGGATCACAAGTTCTAGGTCAGCTCTGTTAACTTAGTAAGACCCTTTCTCAAAACAAAAATTAAAAAGGGCTGGAGATATAGCTCAGTCATAGAGCACCCTAGTATTCCATCCCAAGTACCGCAAATAAATAAATAAATAAAGGGGATCTCAAAAAATGATGAGGATGTTCCAAAAGAGCACGACAGCCAGCTCGAAGAAGCTCCCTGCCAAATTTGGAACAATTTGAGCATCAAAAGGAATAATGTCCCAAATAAATTGTAACACATGGAACAATAATTTTTAGAATCCTTGAGTCCATGCTGATAATATAACTACTATTATAAATAACAAAATTAACATGTCAAAATGTTGATGGGGAGGAAAGCTCTTCTTTACATTAGAATGCCAACTACTGGCATTAAAATATTTTCCATCTCCTTAAAGGCATGTCTCCTGGATTGGGTGGCTTTTCCTTTTTTAAAATGCTGGTGCAAGCCAAGTGCAGTGGCACATGCGTGTAATCCCATGTATTCAGGAGAATGAGGCAAGAGGATTGATCACAAGTTTGAGGCAGCCTGGACAATTCAGCAAGACCCTGTCTCAAAATAAAAAATTAAAGAGGGGCTGGGATTGTGGCTCAGCAGTAGAGTGCTCATTACTATGTATGAGGCCCTGGGTTCAAGTCTCAGCACCACATAAAAATAAATAAATAAATAAATAAAATAAAGATATTGTGTACAACTACAACTAAAAAATAAATATTAAAAATATTAAATATTAAAAAAAATTTAAAAGGGGGGAGAGGGGCTGGGGATGTAGCTCAGTTGCAGAGCGCCCCTGGGTTCAATTTTCCAGTACTGCAAAAAATAATAAAGGCCATGGTGGTGCACACCTGTAATCCCAGCTACTTGGGAGGGTGAGGCAAGAGGATGGCATGTTTGAGGCTAGCCTCCAAAATTTAGTGAGACCCTATTTCAAAAATAAAAAAAGGGCTGAGGGTATAGTTGAATGGTAGAGCATCCTTGAGTTAAATTCCTAGTACTACAAAATAAATATAAACAAATGTCCCCTGTGTTAACATACCAAGAATTATTTATCCTCCTGTCAAGGTGGTTTTTATTATTATTATTATGAACATCACATCTAACATCTGTTTCTCTCAGTAACACACCTACACCTACAAATGGTATTGCTGATTTTAGGATATGTGAATTTCAATTTTATAAGATAATACCAAACTATCTCCAAGGTACTCAACTTCCACTCCCACTAACAATTTATAAGGGACCTTTTTAACCCACATTTTCTCCAGCATGTGAAATTATCTCACCTTTTCATTTCTGCCAGCCAAATAGGGGACAAATGTGTCTCTCATTGTAGTCTTGATCTTCATCTTCCTATCACTAAAGAGGTTAAATTTCCTTATTATTTATTAAACTCAAATGTTATGACATTCAAATTTTTTACTTTTCACTGCCTAGTTTTCAAAAGGCATTAACAGTCACTCATTAGTTGTTATAAAAACAGAGAAAGTACACAGCCTCGTAGAGAAAAAGGACTGTCTCATTGCTAAGTAGAGTTGGCTCTTCTGTAACATGGATTAGGATTTACTGTTACGTGTATGCTACTTATTGGTGTTCATTCCAAAATGGATTTTTTAAAATTTATACAGTTAAGACATCTATTTCCTGTAAAGCAGTAGTGACAGTATAACCTTTTCACATCATTCAAATGCTTTCCATGAAAAAGCTTTTATATATAATCCAGGATTTAAACAAAACATGATTTCAGCTTGAAGTAAATTCCCTTTATCATTCTCCATTTATGTCTAGGCCACAGGAAATGATGTGACAATAGCAGATTTGATGTCTGAGAGAGTGCATGCTGACTCATTTTTATTATAAAGGGATGACATTCGAGTCTAAATTTTTCACAAAGAAAACAGATTGAGATTACTTTGCTGTTGTTATGAAGCAATAAGTTGATGATAAAAATTCTTGTTTTGATTTTTCTAATAAATCCCGTCTAGCAAAATTGATTAGGAAAATATCTTCCATAATTTCAGGTTGGTAGTCCACAGCCATAAAATTAACTTGGGTTTTTTTCTTTTTTATTTTTCAATCATGAATGAGGTTTTTATTTTATTTTTTTTATTGGTTGTTCAAAACATTACAAAGCTCTTGACATATCATATTTCATACATTTGATTCAAGTGGGTTATGAACTCCCATTTTTACCCCGTATACAGATTGCATAATCACATCGGTTACACATCCACGTTTTTACATATTGCCATACTAGTGACTATTGTATTCTGCTACCTTTCCTATCCTCTACTATCCCCCCTCCCCTCCCCTCCCATCTTCTCTCTCTACCCTATCTACTGTAATTCATTTCTCTCCCTTGTTTTTATTTTTCCCTTTCCCCTTACATCCTCTTATATGTAATTTTGTATAACAATGAGGGATGAATGAGGTTTTTAACTGATTCTCTAAGACAGGACATCTGGCTGTCACCAAGTCTGTGGCACAGGGTTAGCCGGAGGTCAAAGTGATCAACTGCCCTGGTTTGCCTGAGAAAAAAAGGGTCTCTAGAACTTATGACTTTTGGTGCTAAAATATGGTGAGTCCTGGAAACCAGAATAAACTGGTCACTCAGTTTGGAGGCTTAGTCAGCTCCAGGCTGGGCTGAGTTGACTCAGGAAGCCTTCCTGAGGGGGGTTTTACCCTTTACCTCAATGGAGCCCTTCACAGTTTATAGAAATGGAGGAAAGAACAGAAATTTAATTGTCAGTACACAGAAACATGGGAATCTGGGAAACCTAGTAAATGCTTTCCTCCCACATTGGATGATATCGTACTCAGTGCCTATAAATAAACTACACAGGAACTTTCCTAGGTTCTTATGTGTAGCAGTGATCATCAGCCCTGAATTTGAAAACTAGTTTCTTCTCTCTCTCTCTCTCTCCCTCCCTCCCTCCCCACCCACCTTTTTTCCACCACTTGAGGCACCACTGTACACTGCTAGGACCCAGCCTAGGGGCCACTTTCTACTTAAAATGAAGTCTGTCTGGTAATTGTCCCACAGCATAGTGGATCTTTCTGGAAGACTGTTTGCTGAGTCCAGTACTTTTGAACTATGCACTGACCCTGAACTGGTGCTCAGGGAAATCACAGTGACCTCATACAGGCTCTTCAAGGCATCCACCAAAGATGGATGGAGGAAGTGGCTGCTGCCCTTATAGCCAAGGGGTCTCTCTGCTCTGCAGTATGCCACCTCAATTCTTGTGCAGCTGTTTAGAAAGAAACTAGTGTTCTCAGCATCTTTAAAATTCATATTGATGCACTCCCTCTCATCCCACATCTAATTCTTCCCATAGATACTGTCATCTCTGATCAAAGCCACCATCACTGTTCATCTGCATGATGCCTAGCGACTCCCACCTGCGCACCCTGCTTCACTGCCATCACCCTATAATCTGTGCTCAGGAGAATAACCATGAATGTAATGTTTTACAGCATCAAGTTAGTTCATGTTATATCTCCACTACAGCCCTCCAAGGGCTTTGCACTGCCCTCTGGGTAAGAAGCAAAGGCCTTACCATAGCAGATGAGGACCTAAATGACCTGCCCACTACCTCCCTGAGCCCTCATCCACCCAGCTCCCACACACACTGTGCTGCTGCTGCACAGATACCTCCAGTGCTCAGTCTGCCTGCTTCAGCCACAGGCCTTTGCCTCACGCTTCCCTACTGGGACACTGTCCACTTCCTCCCTTCAGTCTCTGCCTATTTGCCACCTGGCAGCAATCATCCTACTCACAATAGCAGCCCTCCCACCCCCATGCTCCTTCTCCCTCTCCCGCCTCCTTGCTGCTATTTCTTTTCCAGCACTTGGACACACTGCATTTACTTGCTTGTCTGTTTACTATTGGTCATCCAGGGAGTTTATCTGTTTTATTCACTTCTATGTCCTCAACACTTACACCCAGGCCTGGATTACTTGCCATTAGTAGGTGTATTAGTCAACTTTCTGTTGCTGTGAAAAATACTCAGCTTATAAAGAGGAAAGGTTAGCTAGGCCTGGTGGTGCATGCCAATAATCCCAGCAACTTGGGAGGTTGAGGCAGTTGCCAGCCTGGGCAGTTAGCAAGACCCTGTCTCAAAATAAAGGGCTTTGGACACAGCTCATTGGTAAAGCATCTGCCTACCCTGCATGAGGCCCTGGGATTAATTTCTAGCACTGCAAAAAAAAAATAAAAAGGGCTGGGGGTGTGGCTCGGTGATAGAGATCCTACAGGTTCAATCCCCTGTAACACCAAAAAAAAAAAAAAGGGGGGGGGGTTTATTTTTGACTGATGGTTTCAGAGATTTCAGCCCATTGTCAGTTGGCTTTGTGGCTCTTGGACTGTGGCAGCATAATACATCATGGTGGAACATGTAGGGGAAGGAACTGTTCACTTCATGGCAGCCAGGAAGCAAAGATAAGAAGAGGAAGGGGCTGGGGTCCCGATACCCCTTCAAGGGCACACCAGTGACTTAACTCACTCCGAGGCCCCACTACCTCTCAATAATACCACGAGCTGGGGACTAAACCTTCAAAATATGGGACTTTGGGAAACACCCAATTCATAGCAGTATTTGCCAAGTGATTGCAGAACTTAGGGAAGTGATTTCAGTCTCATCACTAACTAGGGTAGGCACTAGCAGGAAAGAGAAGCAGAGTGGCTTCCTGTTGTGTTTCTTACTTTTTCTACCAAATTTTCTCAGCTACTTATCTATAACCTTCCTTTTCTTAGTGTGTTCACAAAATTCCTTTTTGTAAATATCCTAAGGAAGTTTGGCCCTTGCAAACAGCTGATTATTATGGTACCTACTCCCACTTTACCCAGATCCAGGGCTCCCTCCCGTGACAGCCTGGTTCAGAAAGCTTCCAGGAAGGCATCTGGGTTGCTTTCACAGTCTAGCTATTGTGAATTGTGCTGCTATGAACATTGATGTAGCTGTGTCCCTGTAGTATGCTCTTTTTAGGTCTTTTGGGTATAGTCCAAGAAGGGGAATAGCTGGGTCAAATGGTGGTTCCATTCCCAGCTTTCCAAGGAATCTCCATACTGCCCTCCAAATTGGCTGCACCAATTTGCAGTCCCACCGGCAATGTACAAGTGTACCTTTTTCCCCACATCCTCACCAGCACTTGTTATTGTTTGACTTCATAATGGCTGCCATTCTTACTGGAGTGAGATGGTATCTTAGAGTGGTTTTAATTTGCATTTCTCTGATTGGTAGAGATGGTGAGCATTTTTTTTGTGTACTTGTTGATTGATTATATATCCTCCTCTGTGAAGTGTCTGTTTAGATCTTTGGCCCATTTGTTGATTGGGTTATTTGTTTTGTTGTTGTTGTTGTTGTTTAATTTTTGAGTTCTTTGTATACTGTGGAGATTAGCACTCTATCTGAAGTGTGAGGGGTAAAAATTTGTTCCCAGGAGGTAGGCTCCCTATTTACCTCACTTATTATTTCTCTTGCTGAGAAAAAAACTTTTTAGCTTGAATATGTCCCATTTGTTGATTCTTGATTTTAACTCTTGTGCTATAGGTGTCCTATTAAGGAATTTGGAGCCCGACCCCACGAGATGGAGATTAGGGCCAACTTTTTCTTCTGTTAGATGCAGAGTCTCTGGTTTGATTCCTAGCTCCTAGCTTCAACAGATGAATGGATTTAAAAAATGTGGCATTTATACACAATGGAATATTACTCAGCACTAAAAAATAACAAAATCATGGCATTTGCAGGGAAATGGATGGCACTAGAACAGATTATGCTAAGCGAAGTTAGCCAATCTCTAAAAAGCAAATGCAGAATGTCTTCTCTGATATAAGGGAGGTGACTCAAAACAGAGTAGGAAGGAAGAGCATGAGAAGAAGATTACCACGAAACAAGGAAAAGAGGTGGGACGGAAAGGGAGGGAGAAGGGGAATTGCATGGAAGATGGAAGGAGACCCTCATGGATTCACAAAATACATATACGATGGTGTGAGGGGGAAGGAAGAAAAAAGAGAGAGAGAGATAAATGTCACAGTAGAATGGATAGAGAATAGTGAGGGGAGGGGAGGGGGGATAGGGAGGGCAGCAGAATACAACTGACGCTAGTATTGCTGTATGTATATACATGGATGTATAACCAATGTGATCCTGCAATTTGTACATGTGGAAAAATGAGAATTCATACCCTATTTGAATCAAATGTATGATATGTCAAAATCATTGTATTGTCTTGAGCAACTAATAAAAACAAAAAAAGCTTCCAGGAGGGTCAGATGCCTCCACAGCAGTGCTGGCCAGCAAAGCTCTCTGGCAGGGTTTCCATCTCCCTTGGACCTTCCAGAACTTGCCACAGACCTAAATCACACAGAGCCCTAGGTGCAGGGGAGCCCGAGGAGGGAGATTATAGCTCCCAGCCTCTGCAGAATTAGCACACACAGAAGAGTAGCTTCAGATGGTGGGTTATAGTCCATTAGCATTCTTGAAGTCAATTTATTGGAATAGAAGCAGCCTCTTTTTCAATGAAATTAAATAAACTAGAAAATGTCAGAGTGTATTATATAGTCTAAGTATTATTTCATGAAACTTTTTTGTCCAAGCATCAATCCAACTATTAATCAGAATTTCTGGGGCACTGAACTCCCTTAAAAGCTTTCCAGTTGATTACAATGTACAGACAGAACAAGAGCCTCAGGAGTCTGGCACCCATGGATCTAAGCCAGCATCTGGCCACATTGTCAGTCACAGGGCAAACCTTTCTCTAAACTCTGTCATCTCGTGCCCAGGCCAGATCTTCTTTTTCTCTTCCTGTTTCAAAGTCCATACTTCCTTTGAGGTACCTACTCAACTTCCTGTTTACCACCCCCTGACTGATTAGACTTTTTCTCTACCCCTTTAACTGGACAAGCCTCTAGGATGGCTTGTGTATCATCAAGGGGAGAGCTTCCAGGATCCCATCACCAGGGTCAACATCTTAAGCAGACAGTCAAAGCACCAAACCAGTATCTTGGGAGAGAGCAGAATTCATACCAGCAGAGCCAGTAATCAGGTTAAAGCCGGTACTCTCACCTTGTACACAGTCTGAGGCAGAAGAATTGCAAGTTCAAGGCCAGCCTGGGCAACTTAGTGAGACCCTCTTTCAAAATAAATCATAGGGCTGGGGAGTAGCTCAGTGGTAGAGCACCCCTAGGTCCAATTCCCAGTACTGCGAGGAAAAAAGAAAAGAAAAAGCACCAGTAGCACCTCAGCCTGCAGGCATGTGAGGGAACAGAGCCAAAACAAGGGTCCTGGTGCCTCTGAAAATCCACTTATTATCCATCTGGCCAAGAACAGGGCTAGAGGGGCTCTCCTTTCTGACAAAGTTAGTTAACCCTCAGGCCAGAGAAGTATTTGCAGAGCAGTCACATCAGAATGCCTTTGGGAGAACATCTGGAGAGGCCGCTCCAGGAGCAGCAGGACAACCCCCTGACCCTTCTGTTCTTCATACATCCCTTGGCTTCCTCCACCAGTTTCTGGACTGGAGCTGGCTGCCATGCTCAGACCCTGCACTCAAGACAGTCAGGAGCCATACACAGGTTTGGGGGAAACAGGAAGAGGGACAGTCAACAGATTGAGGCTGATCCTCCATTGCCCTCCTCAGTGCTGTTCCCCTCCACTGTCTTAATCATCCAGCAGGAAATTTTGGGATTATTCCTCTGCAGGTCATAAAAGATGAGCAATTTTTGTGTTCATCTTCATTTTCTGCATTTTCCAATTTACCTACAAATTAAGCATGTAAAGAAAACACTAAGGCTTCCAACTTTCAAAAGTAATTAAATCTCTTCCTCCAGCCATTTGTAAAAGTGCATAGTCATCCCCTCCTGAAGGAAGGCAAGTGGGACATGCTTCTAGATGACTTTAGACTCTGTGAGTCTATCAAAGGATGCTTTGTTGCTGAGCACAGTGGTGAGGCCTGTAATCCCAGCAACTTGGGAGGCTGAGGCCAGAAGATTAAAAGTTCAAAGTACTAAGCCAGCCTAGGCAACTTAACTAGACTCTGTCTCAAAAAAAAAAAAAAAAAAAAAAAAAAAACAACCCAGGGATGTAGCTCAATGGTAGAGTGCCCCTGGATTCAATCCCCAGAACTGAAGGCAAAAAAAAGATGCTTTGCAGTGAAGTCACTTGAAGAACCATAGATTTATGTTTGGGATGGCCTGACAAAAAAAAGTCAGTTCCACAAGGCTTAGTAAGAGAGACATGGATAATGTGCTCAGGTCACAGCAAGGACATTGTTATGGTTTAGATATGAGGTATCCCCCAAAAGCTTCCATGTGAGGAGACAATGTGAGAATTTTCAGCAGTGAGATGATTAGTTATGAGGTGAAACCTCATTAGTGGATTAACCTACTGATATGGATTCACTGGGTTGTAACTATAGACAGCCACAGTGTGCCTGGAGGAAGTAGGTTACCAGCGGTATGACTCAGGGGTTTATATTTTGACCCTGGTGAGCAGGACTCTCTCTCTGCTTCCTGGTTGCCATATCCTGAACTGCTTCCCTCTGCCACATCCTTCCGCCATGATGTTCTGCCCAACCTCGAGCCAGAGCTACCAGCAAATCGTGGGCTGAATCTGTAAACCGGGAACTGAAATAAACTTTTCCTTCTCTGTGTTGTTTTTGCCAGGTCTTTTGGTTATAGCCATGAAAAGCTGACCAAACAGATGCCCTTTTCATGTAAATTTCAGTGCTCAAGTCAAAGCCAGACAAGAACATGGAATCCAAAGCAGTCATGACCTCTTTTTCTGCCACTTGCCTGAGAACTTAACCTTTCACCTGGAGATGCCAACAGATACCAGGCCAAGGTGCCCAGGACAAAGACTTTGGAGGACAGGTGCAAATGGAATTCCTTTTGTCTCCTGCAGTCTAGCCACGAAGTTGGGAGGATGGACACTTGGTGTATTTAACAAGCATCCAAACAACTAGGGAACATCCAAGTCAGAGTCAGAGCTGAAGGGAATCTTAGCTCACCTCCTTTTTTGATATATGGGTAAACAGAGGCCAGTGACCTTGGTGGCTTTCTTGAGATCACCCAACTGACACTCGATGCTGATGAACCTGGTTTTCTGGCTCCCAAGCCACTGTTTGCTCCCTGATACCATGGCACCTTTGTATACATTCCTGACACTGCCCCAGTGCTTCAGCCAGCCTCTCATGGCGCATCACAGCTTCCACCACCTGTGCTGACCTGCCTGAGCAGCTTCCAGGACTGTCCCACAAGGGCAAATGATTAATGCACTTGTAAACTGACTGATCTGCAAACATGACCATGGGCCTGTGGAATGAGTGAGTGGCTTCTACATTTGGTCACCCAGGAGCCCTTCCTTATGCTGGGCAGATGAAATTAAAAACAAACAAACAAACTCTAAGGCTCTTTCATTCCCTCAGAACACAACTCCTGCAGAAGAGCAAACAAGGGCTGGTGTTGAGGAACAGGCATGACCTCACCCCATTGCCTGTGCCCTCTCTTCTTCTTTCCTCCTCCTCCTCCTTTCTTCCCAATACTAGGGATTGAACTGAGGGATGCTGTACCAATGAGCTATACTCCCAGTCCCTTTTTAATTTTTATTTTGAGACAGGACTCTCTAAGTTGCTAAGGTTGGCCTTGAACTTGTGATCCTCCTGCCTCAGCTTCCCAAGTAGCTGGCACCACCTCTATGGTCCCCTGCCCTTCTTCTTTTTTTTTTTTTTTTTGGTGGTGCTGGGGATTGAACCCAGGGCCTTGTGCATACGAGGCAAGCACTCTACCAACTGAGCTACATCCCCATCCACCCCCCCGTTTTTTAGTTATTGATAGACTTTTATTTTATTTATTTACATGTGGTGCTGAGAATCGAACCCAGTGCCTCACTCATGCCAGGCAAGTGCTCTACTGCTGAACCCCAGCCCCAGCACCCCCTGCCCTTCTTGAGTTGACTAGCTTATCTCCCCTGTATTTATTTCCAGTTTCATCTACATACATTCAGATGGGAAAGATGGGTAACACAGTGATAAGCCTTCCAACCCCAAGGGGCATTAACAACAGATACTGAGGCAACACGAAGACCACTAGTGTCTATATGCTGGGTACTAGATCACAGATGAAGAGGCGGCCTTACCCAGGGAATTTCCATTGGCCTAGGAAATTAAGGGAGAGACAGTTCACTGCAGGGGTGAAAGGAATGTAAAGACATCTGCAGTTCCTGGGAATTTCAGACATCTGCAGTTCCTGAGGACTACATGAGCAGCTTGTATTTTTAGCTCTCTACAAGAAACCTACCTGAAGGAGCCCTCCCAAGTCTGAATTAACCAGCATGCTGACCATGCTCATGCTGGTGGCACCAAATAGTGATGTCGTTTAGAACTTGACATCTCCTTTTATTGACATTGTCTTTGTTTTAAATTACATTTGGGGACATGACACAGTATTTAGGGCTTCTAAGGATCCTAACTTGGCTATGCAGCTACCCATTCCAAAAGAAAATGGAGTTGTTGATGGATTAATCAAGATTAACATAGTATAGAGTTTAGGAAGCACTCACTACTACCACCTGTCCCATATGAGGTAGGGACCCCAACTCAAATAGCTTACAAAACTGGATGCAGGAAGCATTTTGAGAACAAATGAATGTTAAATTCTGGTTATGGAATAGGATATACTTGCAAGAGCTGCCATATGCTTAGAGTAAACAGAAAAGGTGTCAGAAAAGATGTGGACTTAGGAAGGGTCTTCAGGAATAGTCGGAAGTATGCACATGTGGGCTGTAGTTGTGTCTCAGTGGTAAAGTGCTTGCCTATCATGCATCGATCCTTACCACCACATACAAATATAAAAAGATATTGTGTCCACCTACAACTAAAAAATAAATATATTTTTAAAAGTGTGCACATGTGTATGTGCATGGATTTGTATGTGCACGTAATACAGCATGAAATATGGTAGGCACTTGGGAAGGTGGGCTGGGTCTGAGGAGGGAAGTAACAGGTGAGCCAGCACACACAGTGGAGGTATTAGACACTGTTAGACACTGAGGAACCTACCTGAACACTTCACAGTGATGAGGAAATGTTAGGTGGGCACAGCTAAATAATTAAAGTCCTGGAAAGACATTGTCTTCAGGGAATTCGGATGATAAGCAGCAGAAAGGAAACCTAGAGACAGAAGGCCCTGATCTGAAAAGGACCTGGCTAAATTGGGTAGTCAGGTGCCCTCCCAAAGCTGATATCATTCCTTGGTACCCTTTCCCAGGGGAGCATGTCAAAGTTGGTGTTACAGAAAGTCTCTGAAATTGCCAAGGAGCCCAGTTCATGGCCAGCAGGTTCCTAGACACCAAGAGAGAATAAAGAGTCCCCAGAACATACCCTACTAAGGAAAAGAGTGGAGGACAGTAGCTGGCACTGCAGAGGGCCCAGGAAAGGGGTGAGACAATCAGCGACTGGCCTGGCTCCCTCCTCAAGGATGTCTTTTCAGGATCTGCTCTTTGTACCAGTGAGGAAACAAAAAAGACAGTCCTACTTTGGGGTCCAAAAATGTTGGCATAGCTTTCATTGAGCTCCTGTTGCAAGCATCTGGCCTTCGAAAATTCCAGAAATGCTACATCCCTGGAGATGACACTGTCACCTTATTGTCCCTCATGCTACCTTGGCAACCATGGAACCTCTGTGGTCAAAGGGTGTATTGCATGCATCGTGTAGCCATGGCCTTGACATTCGGATGGCTCATTCTCCACAATATCCCAACTGGGTTTATGAGTTTAGCACCTATGACAGCAGTGCCTGGGGACCCTCTCATCCTGCCAGGGAAGAAGCAGAACATGGGGCTGTTTCTGTCTGCTTCCATCTGCATGCACTTCCCACTGATCCAGAAGACTGAGGCGTCTGAATGTCTCTCTGCTTGTCCCTAATGTAAAAAGTGACTGTTATTGGCGGACTTCTTGTAAATGATTTCTGCCTGATATCACATGTCATGTCATGTTGTGTTGTGTCATAGCAGTGTGATCCTTGTTGAAAAGGCAAAATAAGAGGTCTAAGCCCCACCTCTTTTTATCACATGATTTTGCTGAGGGACCTCAGCAAGTTACTTAATGTCTCTCAGTCTCCTTTTACCATTCAAATGGAAGCAATAATACTAGGAATTTTTGAGGGTTGCTGGGTGGGTGGGTAAATGGAAACACATAAAGTACTTTGCATTGTTCCCAGCACTCACCTAAGTTTAGTTTTATTTCTTCTTATTATTAGAACAATATTAGAACATTCAGCTATTATTCTATGTTTTCCTTCTGACAGTGAGGACATACAAGAAAACTTGGAAAATCATTGTCCAAAGACATTTTTATAGAACTCTAGACCTGAGAAAGACCTCAAGACCCCTGTCCCCAGGCTGAGCCTTACCTATCCACTGGATTCATTTTTTAAGGGGCAAAATTCTCACAGAGGACAAAGTGCCTCAGCCTCCCTCACAGCCTCCCAGACTGAATCATGACATTTATGGCTTTCCTTCTAGGTCTAGCTGATATGCTTCCTGCTCCTTTTTGAACTCTCGAATCTCTTTCATATTTCATGTCAGGACATGAACTTCTTGGTATTCAAACCAATTGAATCAACTTCTAGAGACCCACTTCTCCCAGTCAGCTCAGCCAGGGAGGCACCCTTCCTTCCAGCTGCAGCCCAGGTCACCCTGGAGACCAGCCAGTAAGAGAAGTGAGCACTGAACACGGTGTCCTGTCATCTTTCCTCCAGAGCTGCTGCTTGAGCCTTAAATGAGCAAGGGCAACATGGCTCGATTCCAGCTGCTGCCATTTATTCTGCTCCGAATATACGGTTTCTACCTAGCATGTACCACAGCAATTTGGTCCATGTTGGAAAAGTAGAATACCAGGTTTAAGTCCCTCTGGCTCAGTTCCAGCCACCAGAACCACAATCTGCAACAGTCCAGTGAGGTTGACCAGGGCCACATCCCTCTCAATCCAGAGTCCAGTCCCCTTAGCTGGGACCTTTTTTACTCAGAACTTCTGTGTTCTGAATAACTCTTCCTGGCACTTGTCGGGGAACATAAGAGATGAACTCCAAGGTAGGGACCCCATATTTCTGTGTTCACCCAGTGTCTGGCCCATGCTGGCACATAGTAAGTGCTCAATCTAGAGAGTGGAGGAATGAGAGCTGGGCACAATGGCACATATCTGTAATCCCAGCAGCTTGGGGGGCTGAGGCAGGAGTACTGCAAATTTAGACCAATTTCAGCAACTTAGCAAGACCCTAAGCAATTTAGCAAGACACTGTCTCAAAATTAAAAATATCTTTTAAAAAGGGCTGGTTAATTACTTTATTATAAAGAACCCCTAGGTTTAATCCCCAGTGGGAAAAAAAAGAATGAATGAATGAAAAAAATAAATGAATGAGATAGGATACACTCATTCAACTTTGCTCTAATGAAATTCAGTAGATTTCATTGGATTTGTTCCAAAGGCAAGGCACAGGACATAATTATTTTTTTTTTTATTTTTTCCCTGGGACAAGGGATTAAAACATTGAGCTACATCCCCAGTCCTTTTAATTTTTTGAGACAGGGTCTCACTAAGTTGCTCAGGCTGGCCTTCATCTCTGCCTCAGCATCCAGAGTCTCTAGGATTATAGGTATGTGCCAACATGCCTTGCCAGGACCTAAGATCTTTGAGTGATTATCTGTTGTCCCACCAGATCCACTTTCCACTATCCAGCACCATGTCCCAGCAGGCTAACCTGTATGGGCAACACCATCAGGCTCTGGCCCTCTCACTGTCAATGCCATGAGATCAGAGGGGCAGAGGATAAGGTATGGGTGTCAGTTCTCCCAGTCCTACTTTTTGGCCTATAAGCTGCCTGCATTCTCTGAGAAGGCTCCCATCAGGCAGCTGTCCTCAGTAACTGTTCTGCCCCTCAACATTTTAGACCTGTGGCAGAATGCTCTGGGTTCTACAGTAATTCCTGGGGCCTCCCTATACATTCCCCAGTCCTTTGTAATATGCCCTTCATTCAGCTCTTCTCAGCTTGCCCGTTACTTGGTGTTTTCTGCCAGGCCCCTGACAAAGCTGATCCCAAGTCTGAGGCTTGTCAAGACACAGAAATGCTGCAAGAGAAGGGATTAGCAGCCATCCCTTCTGGGCTTCTGTCCCACTAAGGAAGCCTTCTCCATCTGGCTGATTTTTGGGAGGAGGGCAGCAAAGTCTTTTCATTTCCTATTTTTTTAAATCACATGTTAAATAGTTAATATATTCAGATGGCTCAAAACTCAAAAAGCATAGAAGAGTATGTACACAGATACCTCCCCATCTTCTGAACAGCACAGAGATAGGGTGTTGTGTTCCCTCTCACAATGGGCTCTGTCCCCTCCAGGCAGCTTCAGAGG